AGATAGAGTTATTTTAAATTTTCGTTTTGTAGATTTGCCCTTCATATGTAGGTAAAGTGTTGTATCCATGATAACGAGTGGTTCACGTTGAATTGAGTTAAATTAATTACGTTTGACCTTGAAAACTACATGACATAGACAAACAGTTTTAAATAAAGTACGGGGGAACAATCTTAATTCTCTGAAACCTAAGAAACAGTTGCCGATGGGTATAGGAAGATTTATGGAGATTTTGTAGATAAATTATGGTACTTCTTGTCAAATATATATGGTTGCACTAAAAAAGAATAATTTTACTAACTTTTTCTTTCAGAAATGTTAATTTTTGTAGCACCTTGTATGACTTACCATCAACTCATGTATTGGTCATTCAAACAAATGTATTGAGCAGGCCCAATAAATTTTTGTAATAGCTGACATCCGCAGAAACTTATTAAGATTTAATGAAGCGAAGTAAGGGATTAAGCCTAAGGAAATGTTAACAAAGGTTACTCAGAGTTTTGCGTTAAACCATGGTGTTTGATTTGAATTTCCATTATTGTCGACCGCTTCGAGTTGAATCGTCAACCCTACAGGAGCGTAAACATTTCGAAAATATAGATCATGTCTCACTATGGCTATGTACCAAAATTTAAAAAAAGCAATTTAGAGTTATAAAACTTTCAATAGAACACTTTATAACAAATTAAATTATATCGTGTATTACCAAGTCTGGAGATACTTTTCTCGCGATCCACCGATGACGGTTGCCACAAATTTGTGAAAGAGGAAATCAAAATATTTATTATAAATCGGTGTTTTAATATTTTGTTCAGGTTATTTTTTGTATTTAACATCAAATTCTAAACGCTGCGATCAGTTTGTATCATCCAAACTCAGCGCCGTTGACAGTCCTTTTGCTCAATTGTCGATGCAATTTCATCCTAGAGCGAAAGTACTCCATTTGCAAGGAATAAACTAGCTCCCCTATTTTTAGAAACCGGATTCCCTACGGAGGCGCGCCGTCAGTTATTCGAAGTTCGATCAACGTCCCTACTTATTATTCCTCGAATGTAACTCATTTTCTTGTAATAACTCTATCACCGACGATGTCTTTCTCGAACGACATAACGTAAAGCTATCAAACTAAAGCGCTACTTAAATATTAAAGAGAAGTCGCTATTAACGGCTTCGAACTTTATACCTACGATGACAAAATACGAAACTCTAAAGTGAAACTAATCTTTTTGAATTAGCGATTTTGACACTCAAAAGTTTCAGACTTCCGGAAACTGAATACTCCTTTAACGACACTGACAGGAATATACCTTTTACTAGCTGACCTCGTAGTCTATTTAACACGTTTAACAAATCAAGTAGATACGGGGTGGCCCGCTTATTATGGGACGACACATAATCTCAGAATCTGTAAACAATATAAAAACAAGTTTATGTATATAGGTATATTACACAACAGGTGTTTAAATTTAGTAATATTATGTTTACAATTATTTCTAATCCCTTTTGTAAAATACCTATTTATACACCGATCTAGCGTGCCGAAAGTATCATTTTACTACGTCAGTTTCTTTCCTACGGATCCGAGCCACTTCGTTTTCAGAGATATTATCGCACGGTTTGAATTTTGACGTATGTCAATTCTAACAGTCATGTCAGTAAATGTATTCGTGTTTTTTGCAAATATGTACCCAAAAACTAACGGACCTAGAAAAAGTATGGTATGCAACACGTTTGTTAAACTTTTTACGTCACTCGTTTATTAAGCACTCGTTCCGCTCGTACTTGTTGCATAATATGCTATTTCCTACTCCCTTCTGTAAAATATACTATATCCATCAATTTTTCTGGCTGGAAGCGTTTGTATACATTTGCAATTGATTTCCTTGGGTGGTATTTTCAAAAGAAATAAATACAGATTGGTCAAAAACAAAACATTAAAAATTTAAAGGAAAAAATCGTTAGAAGTTATTTTAAAAACAAAGTGCGACTTTGTATGAGGTTCTCTATTACAAAAAGTAGCAGATTTTCAAAGATTTTCCACAAAACATTTGCCCTATATACGCCCATTAATTCGCCGAAAGTATGAACTCGAAATATGGCAGAAATAAAAAACATTTAAGCACTACAGAATTGGCAACTTCGGTAGTTAAGTTATTCTTCTGGTATATACGACGGGTGAGAACACAATGACTTTTGGTGTACAACCCAGAGAAATTGTGGGGCATTGCATGACATTGTCGGAAATTGGAATTGAAGGTATTGGGTATTGGGTATTTGGGCATTGTGGGAAGTAAATTGGTATTATAGACATTGGTATGGGCATTGCGTTGGCATTGTATGGGATTTTGGGCATTGTAAAGGCATTGTCAAACATTTTATCGAGCTGCAGGTGCGCACCTGTGAGCTATTTCCCACGTTTTCCTGAAACCAGCTTAACCTTTATTTCGTATCCGTACATCAGTACGTTGCTGCGTAATGTGCAGCTTGTGCAAATTTTTATTTCTATCAAGTTAAAAATTAGCACGGCAAGCAAAAAAAGCAACCTTGCAGACCAAATAAAAGTATCGGAAAAAGTTCGGAACATACACAATATAATAATGAAAATACTAAGTTGTTATGTTTATTCCATTCTTGTTTTTTTTTTCATAATATTTAACTTTCTCGCGATGTAATAACTAGTGCAATAAATTCTTTATCTTGACGATATTTTGATTCGCCGTTACAGGTCTGGAGTCATATACTACCCTGTTTTTTTCTGTTTTAATAGCAAGAGTCACTTCTTCTAGGGTAATTTAGGAACAAAATATTGTGGATGAATAATTTTAAACTTAAAAAACTGCCAAAGTTCCGTGGGAAATTACCACGCCACTGTTGATGGATGACCTTACGTCATTAATAAAGACTGTTTCAACAGATATGATCGTATGAAAGTATTAAAATATAACATAAGAAAATAACATAGCGATGGAACCAAAACTTTTCTAAAATTCATGAATTGTAAAAACTTGGATTTTATGAAAAAAAAAACAGATTTTTATGAAATAATTTACAAAACTTTTTTCTTATTTTTGTTTCTTGGAATTTGAAGATATTCAGTTATAGAAAGTCAAAACTTGACTTTCCGTTTTATAGGAAATTAGCACTTAAATGTGTTCTTTTTTTCTATTTTAACTGAAATGTTTTTGTGCAATAAATAGCATTTATTATTTATTACATTTTTCGTTAATGTCAAGAGTTTTCAAAATATTGGCTTTGGGTACGTTTAAAAAAAGGTGATGGGTCTATCAATTAAAAAAGGGAGAATTGTAAGAGTCATTGCAAGGGAATTGTGGGCATTGTAAGAGCATTGTGAAGAACTGCAGTGCATTGTGGGGAAGTTTAAAGGTGGGGGGTGGGGGGCAGTGGAGGGAATTATAGAAACTGGGATACATTATATGATAATTTTTGGGGCATTATTGCATATAATGCGTTTTGGTGTATATGAAATGATAATCTTGTCACCCAAACAAATTGAAATAATACAACAAAATAACAATAAGAATAAAACACCCTTATAATCGATGACACAAAACTTCCAAACTTAGTGATTTACAGACGCACCCACAGTCAAAATAGAGACGTCCCTGTAGCCCTCGGTTGTTTTTTCACCATGTTTCGCCGCCATCGGCGTAGCTAGTCGACTAATAATAAAACATAAAACCCTTATAGCATTTTAACATTAGGAAATGTTTTATTGCAAATATTTCGAAATATACAATTTTTACACCTTATAAAAATGGAGCGTTTCCATTAAAAAATATATATTTTTTATGATTTTTTCATTTAAACTTTTTTCATTTAATATTAGTTTTTCCCCTTTTTGTATTTATTTATTGTTAAAATATCTCTACAGATCACTAAATTAGATCCTCTTTTGCATGGAAATTAACTTCAAATTCAAAGGAATTCAGTCTGATATATCGATTTAGACCCGTGAAAGTCACTATTGTCAAAAACGATATGACCTAGGTTAGGGTATTCAAAAATCATTTGATTTACAGGGTAACGTAAATTACATGTGTCATATAAATAGGCCACCCTATACATGCGGAAAGTTTATAAAGGGCATTCCTAAATTAATGCAAGAAAGTTTTATGGCAGATGCAAGGTATTAAAATTCTACGGAAAAAAGTATTTTTTGTGCAAAATTTTTGAAGTTGGTTTTTTATTTTTTTACATGAAAATGTTGCATAGTTCTGAAAGAAGTTAAGAGATCGACTTGTTCAGAGAATTAGGAAATTTTAAAAATAATTTTTATTAGGATAAAGCAGTGGTGCACCATTTTTATCGTTAAAACATTCCATACAAATTTCGTATGAATGCAAATAAAATAAAACATATTCCGCAGTATAAAATGTGATGAAAGGTTTGAACAAAAATTGAATACTTAGAATTTCAACACCCTGTGTCTCGGAAAAGAAGCGAATTTATAGGAAGCTAGAACCAAATCCAAATCCAAGAATTAGGACAAAATTTAATAATAAACTAAAATTCTTTCATTGCTTAAACGAAGAGACTTTGTTTTACATATTTAAACTAAAAATAGTTGCAGCTTAAAAGTGTTGAAATTTTTGTTTCCTTTATTTTTGAATCTATTTTAGTTGAGACTTTTTGAGAGTTCGGAAATGTTATTTTTGATGGATAAACTAGAATGAAGTGCCTTGTTATTTCTTTTATACTTATAGAACGTTCAATCTAGAGCATTATAGTAGTAAAGCATTTCAATTAAGGAACTTATATTTTACACATAACGTAAATGTTGATTTTGTTGCTTTACTAATGAACAAGTGTACATCAAATAAATATCTAAAATATATTTAATTTCTTTAATTAATTAGTTAATTTAATTACAACAGAGAGACAGAGGCTAAAGCTCGGAACGAAACGTGATTTGTTCCGAATTCTGATATAAATAAAATAATTTACACTGCAATTGTTAAATTCTATAGAAAGAAAATGTGCGTAAAGATTTCGTGTCGAAAAATAATAATTATCTAGTGAGAAATATTCCACATATGATAATCCTTGGCTGCTTCTGCTGTTTATACCTAACGGACATGTTATTAATAATATTTTTGATCATTTTATGATAATGGAAATGTTATTACCTGGCGAATCAGGAAGTACCTTCCATCTAAGTACAGAGGCCATTGTTGTCTTCATTTTTGGCGCCAAACGTTTAGAGTTACTTTGCAGGTAAATTCAACAAAGCTTCATACCCATTGAATATCAGGAGGAACATATTTCTGTGACAGAATATACCTTTTCCGGGGAACAGGTGCCTAATTTTCCTATAAAACATCGCTTTAAAAATGTTTGAAGGTCACTTTGCAAATTTATTAAACGACATCGTTTTAGTAGCATCGTTATCGTGTAGCAAAAGAAAATTTCTTACCCAAGCCGTGCGTGGAACAAAGGCCGAACACACGTCAGGACTAGGCGGTCTAAAGCCGAGGAATGTTAATTTAATTCGTGTCACACACTACAGAAATTAGCGAAGTTAATGGCCGTTGCGAACATGCCGCCAACAGAATGCGATGTTTTTTTTTTATTTGGACGACCCGAATTCAAACACCGCTCCGTTTGTATTCTGCGGTCATTTGGTTGCTAGTCGAAACGCAACATCAATTTAACATTAAAGATACATCCATCTAAACCACACGCGGGCGGTCATCCTGCAAAATATCGTAGCGGCTCATGGTGGGACCAAACGCATGAAATTGACCAAGAATTATGGTAAGCATTAAAGCTTATATTGTTGTATTTTGGAATATGTTTTTTTTTTAATTTAACGGTCATCACGCTGTCAGCGAAAACGTGACGCTGCTAGGAGATTTGCGAGTGTTTAATAAACGAGTGACTTAAAAAGTTTACCGAACGTGTTGCATCTACAACCCTTAGTTTTGGGATACATTTTCGCAAAACAAAACGAATACATTCACTGACATGACCGTCAGAATTGACAAATGTCAAAATTCAAGGCGTTGGAAATCATCCGATTGCTCCCAAACCCGTGTGGTATAATCCCGGACATGTCCGAAGTGGCTCGGATCCTTGGGAAACGAAACTAACGTGGTAAAGTAACGCTTCCCGCACGCTAGAGCGGTGTGTAATTAGGTATTTTACAGACGGGAGCAGAAAAAAATCATTACAATAAAAAATCGTCTTTATTAAAATAAATGTTTTTAATATTTTTCTTCTAACTAAGTAAAGATAAGTCGTTTAAAAGATCTCCAGGTAATTTAGGAGCTTTATATGAAAACGATCTTTGAAATAAGCGTGTTGAAGATAATTAGTCGCTCACATAGCGATAAATTAAGGTTGGAACCCATTATTACACCATTTGGGTAGAATTTTCTAAGCATTCGATAGTAGTATTGACAGAATCACTTGATATGTTTTGCGAATCGTAGTCTTGCATACATACATAGCACTAAATTTGTTGTTATAGTTGTAAATATTATGGCCAATCACGTATTGATATTAGGAATAGAGAATTTAGATTCTCTTTAATATTTTGTATAAAGATTATTAAATGTGTTGTATTTGTTGTAACCAATGAAAATTGAGTATTAGTAAAATATATTATATTATTTTACCCAATAATGATTATTGTCAAAGTAAATTTGATGGTTATAGACCGGCAAATTCGAAAATTTAGTTGCAGTAAAAAAATTACCCCAATGTACGCATTTTTGCAAACTTTAATATTTGTTTTATCACGCCGACAATCCAAAACCAAGGTAACTTGGAAAAAAATATTTACATTACTAAGGTTACCGTGATTATTTTTGTCAACCAAAATTTCGATTCTATGTGGCTGCAGGAAATGTGCGAACGTGTACTGAAACTCGTGAGGCGCAACGACGACATTTGTTTTCCCACGTTGGTGTTAACCGTAATGATCGTAAATACTGGATATTTGTTCTTTTGGGGTGAAAGGCCTCATGTGTGGGAGGGTTGCAGCTGACAGTGTCTGTCGCGCTTTCGGTTCAATTGCGAAGTGAGAAAAATAACAGCCACTGGGTAAAATGCTGCAAGTTAAAACTTAGAGAAAAACTGCGCTTCACCAAAGCACAAAGTTCAAAAGCGACTGCCGACTTACATACATGAAAAAGGTTCGGAAAACCATGTGCTAATATTTTTCGCGACATCATTACTATGCTGAATGTCGATTGCAAAGCCAATTTTTTATTTTTCTTGTTAAATGTATATTGTAATCTTGTAGAATTTAATAAAATCCTAACAAGTAGAGTAATGGCCAATTCTAATTTGATTTATTTCAAACTAGAATAAGGATTAATCAGTAACCCAAATTACCACATGAATTGCTTATAACGCCATAAACATGAAATATTTTTATCTAGAAACTTTATAGTTTACTGCACGTTTGCAGACCTCTTAACGAGGTTCGTGAGACTTTCTTATCCGTTGCAGTTTACTTCGAATTCGGTTTATCCCCTTTAGTGCGCCCGTATCAAATTCGGATGGAATAACGTAGAGATAAAACCTGGTTTAGTCTGTCAAGCGGCTGCTTGCTTTTAAAATTTTTATAAGGATTTACTGGAGTCTGCACTGAGTGCACTGCCACTGCTCCAACTAGGCAGTAACGAAATAAAAGGATAAAGAGAAACGCAAATTCGAGTGAATACCGGATTGACAAAAATGATTTTCATCAAGTGGTGGAAACTCCAGTGGGCATTTGTAGTTGGCGCTTATCACTTGGTGCTGGACTAAATATCCAGATTGGAAAGACTGAAGACAACCACACTTTGTATGTACACACGATGCGATTGGTTTTTCTTTTTTTGGCATCATTTTGCTCCAATACGCCAATACATTTTGTCTTAAAATTAACAAAGGGATCATTCCTTAAATTTACGCCATATACTTAATCAACCCTCTGTATAATAAAAGTTATACATACAGTTTAAAATATATTTTTCTATGTTGAGTGCCGACCGTGCCCGCTAGGTTTTTTTATATTTTATTACATTACATTATTAATTTGTGAAAAAATGTATATACTGTACGATCTGTCGACCAAGAAAATCATATTTGTTAGGAATGTTCCAGGAAAACGAGAAAATAAAAATAATTTTCCATGCACCAACAAGCCTCCAGCCGAGCCGTTGGAAAGAACTTGCCTTACGCCGAACATAAACTGAACCTCGTTAAAATTGCCAGGGGAATTGTTTTTCTCCTTATCGGTGTTTTGCCTTTTATTTCATTCAAACAAGAGGGTATTTTAGTGGACGCGTGTTTTCATACGAACTGACAAACCGAAAGGACCGCAAATTTAGTCAAGGGAAAATGGGTCAAATGCGAAACTTTTGCATGGACGAATTTTAAATGATCGACGTGTGATGTTCGAGCGATTCATTTTACCCTGTAATTGGGCTTTGAAATTGGATGGAAAGTGTTGACTGAAAACAGTTGACAATTGGGTCTTTTGAATTTTAATTTTCAAAAGTGTTTCGCCAGGCATTCTGCTAAAATTATCTCCATTTTGAATGTAGTAATGTGATTGTATTTGTTCAAGTTTATAAAAATTTCAAAAGTACATAAGTAATTGAAAATATGTATTATAAACTACCCATTATTACATTTATACAGTGGCGAATATTTCACTAAAGAAATTGTTAACATGGATATACGATAGAATTCTAGATAATATGCCTGAAAAAAAAGATAAAAGCTTTTACCTCAACAGAACCCTAGATTCTACTGAGTACATAACACTTAATTAAGCTTGAGTTGCGGAACTTGTCTGCTACCTTAGGTATTATTTATTTTACAAATAACACAGACAAAGTAAAACATATAATCCTAGCCTACAAAAATAAACGGACCAAAAGAAGGAAAAAGGAACCAAATCAATGGATTCCATTTGATTCAATTTGCTTTTAGCTATAGTTTTAAAGTTGGTCAATGACTGTGGGACAATTTTCCACTAACGAAATAATTTATAGCCGAACCCTTTAGATGTAATATTTTTCATTTCAGCAGGAATTATGTCATATAATTGATTTCTAACAAACAGAAATGTTGGCTGTACCATCCTATTCTTTGCAAATTGTTGTGTTAACTTTTCTTTCGTTTTTTCTCTAGAAAAGTAATTATATGGTATGTGGTTGTGGAATAATGAGTTTTTCCGCATATGAATCTCAGTTGCTTTATAGTATAGTTGCCGAATAATTAATACCTGCATTACATAAATAGTTGATATGAGGGATATTGTCGGTCAAGTTGAAATAAAACTTTCAGGGCTCTTTTTTGAATTACCTCTAATGGTTTTATGTTACTTCATATGTACTGCCTCAGCTGATAATGCCGTATAGTAAAAGTGACTGGACCAGTGCAAAGTGGAAGGAAAGAATTTTTTTATTGAAAGAATTTGTTTCGTTTGCTTAAAAATATATACTAGGATCTGATTTTTTAAACTAGTGTTTGAAATGAATATCCCATTTCAGATGACTGTCCAATGGTATCCCAAGATATTTGAAACTGTTTTTTATTTCTATTTGCCACAATTCAGATCTCTGTGTCAGGTAAACCTCATTAATGTCACCTGGTAATGTTAAGGCGTTATTAGAAAAGGGTACATACACTGCTTTTTTGCAAATATATGGTAAATGTTCATCAAACCAGTTGATTATTGCACAAAGATCTACCTTAACTTGTAATTCTGCATTATTCCAAGTGTCGGCTTCCATCATTAGGACTGTATATGTTCCATTAGTATTCATCGAAAGTAAATCATTTAGGTAGATATTGAATACAATGGGACCTAAGACTCTTCCCTGTGGTATTCCACAGTGAACAGTTTGCTTGCTACTGATTGTTTTCTGTTATGGCGGTAGCTTTTGAATAATAATGCAATTGCAGCTGTACTTTGATTTTGTGTAAAACTGATTTTTAGAAATAAGTTTTTTGTGTGGAAGGTATTTTCTCAATCTTATTTTAATAACTTTCTCGAATATTTTACTTACATTTGATAAAATACTGATGGGACGATAATGAGCCCCAGTATTTGATCACCTGCTTTGTATATTGGACTAACAGAAGCCTCTTTAAAGTGTTGGGGACCTTTACCTGTAGAAATTATTATATTTATTATATACGATAGTCGTTGGCGTATTTGTTTGGCAATCTCTTTTAGAATCTCAACATCAATTCATCCTCTCTAGGTGTAGTGTTCTTCTTCAGTTGGCTAATAATTTTTTCAATCGCACCAACACCCGTTTCTTCAATAAACATCGAGTCTCTGATGTTAATATGATTTTCTGAAAAGTCAATGGTTCTGGTTAAGAAAATTGCTATGTCGTAGGGATCAAATAATATCCTTTCTAAGTCTTGAACCTTATTAGTCTCATCAGAGTTTTTTCTACTTTTATGAGACAAATACGGATTTACAGTTTCCCATATATTTTGGGGGCTACGTTTGATTTGGTGTATGTGTATGTTTTTGTAAAAGTTATTTTTTAGTTTCCTCATAAGATTTATTATTTTAGTTGATTG